TCTCTGAATCATTACTTTATATAATAAAATTTAAGAAATAATAATTAAAAAAAATTATTATTAGTAAAATTTTTTTTATAAAAAATATATAATAAAAATTTTTATATTTAAATAAATTCCAATATTTAATAACTTAATTAAATAAAATATAATTAAAATTTTATTTTTGAAAAAATAATCTATTAATATTTATCTGAAATACAAATCTTTTTGTACCAGTTCATAATACTAATTACAGTGACAACCAAAAATAATATAACACTTAAATTTTTTACTAATTATAATTAATAAAAAATTTAAGTGTTGCATTATTTTTGATTGCCACTGTATTAAATATTTATTATTATTATTATTATTAAAATTATTATCTTCTTCAGGAATTTTTTTAAATTATTAATAATAATTTGATATTTTTAAATTATTTCTTTAATATATAATAATTTAATTATTATTATAATATTAAAAAAAATTTTAATACTTTATATATTTTCATTAAAAATTCTTCATTTTTCTATAAAATAATTTCTTTTTTGTATTAAACCAATAAAAAATATATCATTTTTGCCATAAATTCCAATTTTTCTATAATTAATTGTCCAGTAATCCATCATAATGTTGAAAATCCTCTTTTACATATTGCTAAATTTGAACAAATAGAGAACCAGTTGTTAATTATAATTTTCTTGAAGTTCAATACAATCCCATCATTGAATTGGACTTCATAAGTTGAAGATGGTAAATTCATTTTCTTTATATTTTCTCATTTGTGAACATAGAATTTTTGTTGCCTCAAGATCCCATTTAAATGTACATGCAATATTTACCAGTATCACAGGCTTTTAAGACACTATAATTTACTACAAACCTCTTTAGTGCTAAAATAGTTCGCAAATAAAGCATTTTTGAAGAGTGAGGTTTTGTGAGATATAGACACGCCCAGAAGATGCAACTGCTTGTGCGCGCATTAGGATCCTTTTAAACCCGGCTTCCGTTTCAACGAACTCCAGCCATAAACGTTCTACAAAGAGTAGAAATGCAACAAGCAGATACGCATTAGGGTCCTTTTAAACCCGACTTCCGTTTCAACGAACTCCAGCCATAAACGTACTCTACAGTTGGACTGCAAAGATGCATATTCGGGATGGTGTCTTATGTTTTGAAAAAAAACACATCTGCAAATTATTTCATCTGATTTCAGTAACACGGTTCGACATGCCGATCATATCATTTCACGTAATACAAACGCGAACGCGAAAGCGAAAAATGCAGATGTATAATTTCAAGTCATGGATTATTCACATTATACACGAAGAAAGCGCAGAATGAAACAAAGGGAGAATTTAGAAATGGTATGTTGGCCTTCTCTTTGCGTTTGTACTCAATTCACATTCACATGTATATAAAACCACATTTAGGCACGGCACTCTTACTCTCAATTAAAAGCCTCCAATAGGGAGAAGAGTACGACAAACACGAAACAACTCGAGTTCATGAAACAGGACAATCTAAAGCGTCGACGAGATAATGAAGATGAAGATTTATTAGCAACTTCAAGAAGAAAGGTCAGGATAAATTACTTTGACACACACAAATTTTTTATTTATGCATCCTAAACAGTTTTTATTATTTTTTTTTTTAGGGCGAAGTTGTTGTGGTACCACCTATATTTCTGTAGTAATCTGATTTAATAATATCCTAATTATATTTGTTAACGATTTAAATCAAATTAAAAACTGAAGGATGATGATGATGAAATCGATCAAGAAGCATATTCATTATTATATAATGATGAAAATATAGAAAAAATAATGGAGTTTGTTGACGAAAACTATTTATCTGAGGAGAATAAACTACCAGATGCAAGCAATAGCGAGGTATTATTTGTTTATTGATTGTTACATTCTCTTATTACATTTTAACTAATGTGCTTAGTCTATGATGTTTAATAAAATTTATTTAAGCCTATTTTTGATATCGATAAATTCTTGTGCAGTTTCAGAAAATATCAAGATAAAATCCCAAA